TCTTTTTGCACTACAAATCATTATATCTGCACTGTTGTTTACTTCACTGGTTTGCACTCTATCTGCCATGTGCTGTGTGCTGCTTTATATATTTTTTTTTATACTTTTTTTTACATTTTACCTTATTTGTATATTTGTATAGTTGTATTTTATACTTAATCTGTATATCTGTATTTATGTTCTACTGTTAGTGTTATCTGTATGCACCAAGGGTCTGAGAGTAACGCAATTTCAATTCTCTGTGTGTATGTGCTGTACATGTGGAAGAATTGACAATAAAGCAGACTTGACTTGACTTGACTTATTATTTTTAAACATTCCTAAATTCAATTAAACATGAAGGTATATGGGAACTATAACTAAAAAACCATATTGGAAATCAAGACTAAAATGCAGACAAGCTTGCATCAAGCTTTTTTCAATTAAATTTTCCATTCTTATTTCATGCGATACTTTGCGAATCCTGACTAATGAGTTTACCAAAGAGCAAAAGACTGGCGAACATCCAAACACATTCATTTATGGAGTGAGACGAGTCTCCAACACAAACTGTCATATTAAACAGACACCTGTGTTGACTCATGACCGCAGCTCTGTTACAAAACAGATACTTTATCAGAACTCTAGATCCAGAATCTCATCAGCAGAACATGCTGCTCAACCACAAAACTCCACGGTAACTGGAAGCTACCAAAAAAAACATAATATAACTGAATCCTTCTAAAGATTCGAGTCCTTGCGGTTATTTGAGTGAAAGTCAGTAATAGCAGTGAAATTAAAGCAGTATTATTTTGCATTATGTTTGCAATATTGTTGTCAGTATTGCTTAAAATATGGTCAAATTAAACCAACCAAAATAAAACAGATACAAACCACAACTGCTAACTCAATATTATATAAAGAGTTAGCTTAGTTACCTTAGTGTCTACAGATAACTCCGTTTTTAACAATTTTCAAAAATATTCATGTTTTTTCACTGTGCATTCCAATTAATTTTGAATAGGTTAAAAAATAACTAAAAAATACTGCTAACTAACACAATAAACATAATAAAAACATTGAGTTATCTGTTTTTGCAAATAAACTCTTCATATATATATATATATGTATGTGTGTGTGTGTGTGTGTGTGTGTGTGTGTGTGTGTGTGTGCGTGTGTGTACCTGTTTCTTGTGTACTGTGTATTCTGGTGGGGACTTAAACCTGAATACACACAGACTCATGGGGACTCGTGTCAGACCTAAATTCTAAATTGAGATCCCCACGGGTAAACAAGCTAATAAATCACACAGAATTACGTTTTTTGAAAATAAAAAAATGCAGAAAGTTTCCTGTAAGGGGTAGGTTTAGGTGTAGGGTTGGTGTAGGGCAATAGAATATACGGTCTGTACAGTACAAAAACCATTACGCCTATGGAGAGTCCCCACAAGGATAGCAAACCAGACATGAGAGTGTGTGTGTG